AAATTTTCATGTTTCACTTGGATGTTTGACCCATCGTCTTGTTCTGCCTTGTAGGCCTCCTTTTGAGCTTTGAGGAAGAAAAACCATTTTGCAGTTCTTCAGAAGTCTGATGCAAGAAAAGCTTCAATGACTCTTTTTCCTCCCTGCTTATTGTGTTGTCTGCTGCTGATACTCTTCAACCTGTCTGACTAAGGACTTGTAGTTGTCTAGCTATGTGTGTGCATAATGTTTTTTGTGTACTGCTTTAAATGCTATAGCAGCTCACAATTAAGTGGTGCATGGCACCCAGAGGCAATTTACTGGCACTAATCTGCTACTGTGATCCAAATAGTGGAGGTTCGGTTCACATTTTGAACACTGAATAAATGACTGGTTTGCTTCTGTTTTTTAACTGCTGTTGGAAGCCACTATCTTATCTGCAGCCCAAATTAATTTCTTTCTGTTATATACACAGGGCTCGGCCCGTACTGAATTGATATTCCATCTTCCTGTTTTGAGGTGTAATTTCTTTTTCGTTGAATGGATGTTCATTCCTTTTCCTTTTCAAAAGAAACAGTTCATTATGAATGCTTCTGTGCTGCATAACATACTTGTTATCTTTTTCCTGTTCAAAGTGAAACATGCAGGACAGAGCAGTACTCTTAATGATTATGAATACTGAGTGGTAAATAATTATGTATTTTGGTTTATTGGAGGGTGTTTTGAGAACTTGTAGTTTTGACGAGCATCTGGCATACCGTCTTACTGAATGCCCTTCAGATAGAAATAATGCATTTCTCAGGATATCTGTTAAAAGTGTTTTTGGGTTTTCTTTTGCCATTGTGTTCTACCTTGGAAAGTGTTCTTGCCTGCAAATAGCTGCTGTCTGTCTTGTTTTGCTAGTATTTTCAGCATGACTCATGTCCCTGGCTCTTATTTTCTGCTATTCTTATATCTATGAATGGCAGGCAGTGCTGCATCAGTATGTGCAGAGTGCCAACTCTTGAAAATTCAAGCTTTGAGGCTTTCAGGGGTGGGAGGTTAAGCATGACCCATAGTTCATGCCATTTGGAGATGATCTTATAAAACTGACAGCCCTGTGCATTTTGTAAAATCCCTGGCTTTAGTTCTGGTTTTGCATCTCAGTTCACGCCCCAGAACCACATGCAGAGACCCACAGTACAATATGCTTTATACCCTTACTGGAATATTTGCACTCTTTCAGACATCTATCTGTGTGTAAACAGCTGTCAGTTCTATACATAAGAAAAAAGGAAACTATTCTGCTATTCAGCAGCAGCTCTTACAGCTGATTAATATTGCAGAACTTACTTGCTTTAATGCAGAATTCAAAGGAGTGGTGTACTTCCACTTGCATCTATTCTAAGTTAATCTTGAGAGGAAGAATTCTTAAAGAGAAGTCTGCATTGTTTGAATAATTGCAAGGTTGTCTAGTCTTTAGGAGAAAGCAAGTCAGTTTTTAAAATTACTGCTGCTTAAATATCAGTGCTCCTTCTTCAGGGAAGCTTGGTATTACAAGCATTTGAGTTGCCTTAAAGAAAACACCACCAAAAACAAACAAACAAACAAATGCCTTTGCTTTTATGATCAAGCCCTTCTGAAAAGCCTTTGTTCACTAGCATGCATTTGATCTTCGATACTTTTCCTGGCTTCAGTTCTGTCACGCAGTAGTCTAAAACGTAAGTCTACATGGTGCTTACCGATTGATCAGTATTGGCACAGTTTCTTTGTAATTGTTTTGGAAATTCATCTTCGTTTTGTGTTGCAGGGGAAAACGTGAAGGTGGCTTTAAGAGGTGGTTGTAAAGGAGGGATGTATTTGCCGTGTCCATGTGAGTTGTAAGAGAGGCTCCAAACACTGCTTAATGTGTTAGAACTGATTATAACCTATTTCTTTAGAAAGCAGTTGGATTTTTGCAGGTATTTGGTGGTTGAGCTGTGCAGTCGGTGTGAGTCAGGGTACTGGACCACATGGTAGGGATGCTGGGGAGCTGTGTCTGCTGTCTAATATTACTGGGAAGGCATGGAGTCACAGGAGAAATGACTTTGATCTAAAAGTGGAAGATATTACAAGGGATAGTGGCTAAAACTAACCTTCCACAGGTATTTGAGGTTTTAAATAATTACCATTTTCAGTTACAGTTTAGGTTCTGTTAAAAGAGAGCTATTAAATGAAGATGTCCTCATTTCTCAGAACAGGCACTTACTGGTGGCATCAGTTGATTTCTTACCGAAAATGTGGCTTTATTCGATATTGCACTACTTCTATATTAGGTACTATTGGTAGTGCCTAAGCAAGCTGTAAAGTGCCTTGTCACAAAACACTTGGGGATGCCTTAGCTTTTGATTTAATAAGGGATTAAGGAAAATAAGGGGAAGAAATGCCCATTGTTAAATAAAAAAGACGCCATCTTTCACTGGGGAAGCCTCTGAGCCCTGAGTATTTAGAAGGAATTGACTTTATCTGTTTGCCCTGTTGAACTCTTTCCTATGCATCAGCTGTTGCTCCCTGCTGAAGAAAACACACTGATGCTGTGTGGACCTTTTGATTATGCTGGCACAGCTGTTTGTATACTTTGTTCTTATTCTGTGTGGAAACACTGAACTTGATCCCCGTCATCTGCGCTGCCTTGCTGCATGCATGCGAGTGCAGCAGAGGTGGTAAATTTTGAAAAGCTGGTGCGCTGAGCCCGACGCTGTGGTTGCAGAGACCTGAAAAGCTGCTGTGCAACGTGTAGCTCCCAGATAGGAAATTCGGGGATATTAATATATTAATATCCTTTCAGCAGAGATAGAATTATTCTATTATCTCAAATATATATCTTATATTTGAGGCTATAACTCGGATTTGGGACTATTAATAAAGAATATCCTGTGTTGCTAGGACTTCTGGCATGCAGTAAACTGCTGTCAGAATTGTAGTAGTTACGTTTCCCTGTAAGGTTAAGCAGAATTGTTCATCAGCTGAAACTGATACTAAATATATGCTAGACTTTCATGCTGGTTACTTGATAGAGTACGTTATTTCCTTTAATTATCCCGTATACCAGGATATGGCACCCAGAAACTTACACTCTCTCTTCCCAATCTTAAGCATGCACTGAGATAATTTGTGGAACTGTTGTGAGTAATTCAAGAAAAAAAAGTGAGTATAGAAAATATTCGATGGTTCTTTGCCATTACAGGCACTTGTGAAACACTGTATCTGTCACGACTAAACAGGCGTCGTTGTTATTAAGTTGTCCTTCGTTTGGTCATCGCAAATGCCGAGTCACTTTGGGGGTGAGAATTTGCTGCTCGGTAATGTGTAGGAGAAAAGGGAGTTAACCTTTAAACCACTGTGTCAGCAGTTAACTTTTTTTCAAATAAGGATCTATATGACACTGTCTTCCTATTCATGGACAGAGATGTCCTCTCGTAACTGTAGCAGCATGAACTTACAACTGGTTTCTCAGTTTAACTTTTTGAATCTTGGTGAGGTTGTCAGGATGTTGGGCAAGTTAGTGCTGCTGTTACTTGAGAAAGTTAAAGCTATAGAAATTATAAAAAACTTTATTCTGGTATTCCTCCGTGTGTCCATGGTGGCTACATGTGGCTGCTGAAGGCCTTTGTATATCCATCACTTGAAAATGTATTGTTTAAAAGAGCTTCCTTAGAAAATGGATGAAACTGTTAAGATGATGGCCATGGTATACTTTTTGATGAATGGTACCTGAGCACTGCTTAAAAAGTAATTTAAAAATCCAACTAAGTTAAGTTTCTTATGACCTCATCAAAGCTCACCGTGGCTTTTCTCGTGTCTGGAAACTGCAACGATTTGGTGCTTGACAGGTCTTCTGGGCTCTGAAAACTCATAGCTGAGACTTTCATTCTGCTAATATTCTTTGAAGTTTTTTAGTTAGGGCTTTCTCTTCTTGTAAAGAATGGAAGGAGGCAGCACAGTAGAATTTTAACAGTAATGCCGAAACTCTTGACTTACAAAATTTACTTTCTGGCTTTTGACATGCCAAAACCTTGTTACGCTTCATGGAACGGTATTAAATCCATAGCTGGTACTGCGACAAACAAACTGTGGGTTTGCTACATATAGCCCTTCGGTGGGCTGTACTTGAGCCAGTATCTGGTTTAAATAGTTGATATATTATATTTTGACAGAAAATTATTTTTTAATGCCCACCTTTATAAAAATATTTTTTCCACTTTTAAAATGCTATATGAAGTGCGTCTGAGGAGGTATGTAGTTACACAGTTTACACAATATATGGCATGTTGGGAAATAATGAAAATTGTGATGTTATATTAGTCTGGAATATTATTATGCAATTAGATTGGTAAACTCAGATGCTAGAAATATAATTCTATCTTTGCTTCCTCTAAGAGTTATATTGTATTTCCCCAAAATTCAAGGACACTAAACTTTGATGCATTTTGATTTGCCTTGACACATTTTTCAGCAGCAAGGCA